TTTGCTCTATGAATAGACATTGTGGAAGCCAGAAGTATGTACATAATACTTGCACATCACCTCAAAGAGCTGGCAGTCAAATTGAGAAAACCTAGGGGAATAACTGATACTGAGCTAGGATGAATGGAAGGAGGCTGCCTTTGCTTATAGTAATCCATCTGGGAAGGCTAGGCAAATTGGGATCAAACCTGATGCTTGCTGACCGTTCCTGCATCCTTTCTTAGACTGCTTCATGCAGTTGCTCATAGGATATATATTCTAGGATAATCATCCACAGCTTTTTGCCTTCTCTCAATCCTGTTGAAAAGTAGGCTGTCAGTGTCAAGTGTCATTTCTCACTGATTGTTTTTAAGAGCTCAGTAACTTTGGGTTCCACAATTTTATTACTTTATTTAAATCTCTCTGTCTTGTATTATGGGTAATTTCTTCTAATATATCTTGCAAACTCTTGTTATTAATTTATCTCTGTCTGATTTACTGCCTAGCCACCAACTGAGTTTTCAGTTTTAGAAACCAGATTGATCATTTCTAGAAGTTCTATTTGATGCTCGTTCAAATCCAGCTGCTTCATTGTTGGTTGCAGTTGTTAGTGTCTTCAGTTCCTTCTTTGATAACTTTAAGCACATATGAGTTCTTGTCAATATCTGATGATTATCCACCTGGAATGATCACGGGTCTGGCATTGCTCTTTATTTAGTCTACAGATTCTCAGACATGGCAGAGTCTTCCTAGTAGGTTTTATAATTCAGTATTTTAGGGTTATAATGTATGCGATATTATTGTCCTGCAGCAGTTTTTACATACATTTACCAGTTTGTAAGTAGACCTGTAAGTAATATAAATTAAGCCTTAAACCTATAGGGAGCAAGCTTGTCGTTACGAATTCTCAAGGTAGGACATTTTTTTTCCTTCCCTAGATCTCAGATCGAAACAGGCAATCTTTCTTGTCCTCTCTTTCTGCATGGGTTTTTCATATTTATTCATTTTTTCAGTTTCCATCTGTAACATTTTCAGTCTTGTTATGGACCACACAAATTCCACTCTGTATCTATAAATGTTATCAAAACTTCTCTCTTACTATTACAGTTTTCGTAACAAGGGGAAATACTGTTTCTAGTTATTAGACACATTGAAAGCACTTCTGCTGCCTGTTTATTTTCTTCTCAATTTTTCTCAGCAAATATTATTATAACTTGTGAATTCTTATGATTATAGTTCAAACCATGACTGAGTGAGATTACAACAGTAAAAATTGCTTTCATAAACATCATGGATTCTAATTATTCTGGATGTTGTATTTTATAATTGATTTAATATCCTCTGTATTCTTGTATGAACATTTGGGAAACAATCCAGATTGAAACTCAGACTAGTTTGTGAAATTTATTTATTATACAAATGCCTGAAAAGAGAGAAACAGACAGTACACAGAAAAGGAATTGCAAATGGTCTTTAATCTTATGGAAAAAATGGCTCAACCTGGTTTAACATAAGTGTTGTTAAATAATGTAAATATTGACTAAACTACACAGTAATACTATTAATCATCTATATAATTAACAGAAATGTGAACACTTAGCTACATTCCTCATTGGTACAACTGTGGGAGATACAGGGACTCTGATACTACAGCTAGTGGGAAAAAAATGATAAAACTACAATGTAAGAAAACTTAGAAATATCTATCATATCTCTCTGAGATAGATAAAAATTTGCCCTTAACCTCAGAAATATTAATTCTAGGAGTCTATCAGTCAATGGCAAAAATGCAAAACAATAAGTAATCTGTTCATGAGAGTATTCATTGTAGCATGTCATTAAGTGTAAGAAACTGAAAACAAGTCTCTTGCCCATTATAAGGCATTAGGTGAATAAACTATGGGGAAACTACCTGAAAATTAATAATAAATAAAGATTCAGTATCTCCAGGATTTATTACTTAAAGGTTTAAAACAAACATTTATCCAATAAAGACAAACAAATGGCCAATAGGCACACAAAAATGCTCAATATCATTAATTTTCAGATGAATGCAAATCAAAACTACAATGAGGTATCACCTCACACCAGTTAGAATGGGCATCATTAAGAAGTTCATGCACGGTGCGCGTGGCCGCGGCGGCTGGTGTGGGGCTGAGTCAGTTGTGAGACCCGGAGCTGCGGAGCGGCGGGCGGCCCACCGAGCCGCCGACGGAGCGGCGGGCGTCGGCTTCGGGAGCCGAGGGTGGCCCCGTGTGGAGCC